TGCTGAGGGAGCGCCGCACTGTCGGAGGGTCAGTGCTGAGGGAGCGCAGCACTGTCAGAGGGTCAGTGCTGAGGGAGCGCTGCACTGTCGGAGGGTCAATGGAACATTGAACAGTATGGCACAGGAACATGCCCTTTGGCCCACCATGTCTGTGCCGACCATGATGCCATTCTAATCTAATCCCATCTCCCCGCACGTGGCCCGTATCCCTCTGTTCCCTGGGTCTGTATAAATGCCTCTGAAATATTCCTATTGGGTCTGCTTCTCCCACCTCCCCAGGCAGCACATTCCAGGCACCTACCACCCTCTGTGTAAAAAAACTTATTCATGCGTCTCCTTTAAACTTCCCCCTCTCACCTTCAACCCCTGACCCCCCCCATCAGTATTTGACATTTCCACCCTGGGGGTAAGACTCTGTCTATCCACCCCCTCCATGCCCCTCACAGTTTTATACACTTCCATCAGGTCACCCCTCAGCCTCTGATGCTCCCATCTGACTTTGTCCAAGCTCCCCTTGTAGCTAACACACTCCCTGATCCAGGCCGCATCCTGGTAAACCCCTTCTGCACCCTGTCCAAAACCTCCACATCCTTCCTGTAATGTGGAGACCAGAACTGCACACCCCACTCCAAACGTGGCTGTACTAAAGTCTCACACAGCTGCAACATGACTTGCCAATTTTTATACTCAGTGCCCCAACCGATGAAGGCGAGCATGCCATACACCTCCTTTACCATCCTACCCACTGGTGTTACCACTTCCATGGAGCTTGTGTCCCAAGATCTCTCTGTATATCAATGTTCCTAAGGGTCCTGCCATTTATTGTATCCTTTAATCTTGCATTTGTCCTCCCAGAATACATCACCTCACACTTATCCAGATTAAACTCCATCTGCCATTTCTCTGCCCAACTTTCCAGCTGATCTATATCCTGCTGTATCCATTGGCAACCTTCCTCACTCCCCACAACTCCGCCAATTTTTGTGCCATCCGCAATCTTATTCATCAAATCATCTACATTTTCAACCAAATTGTTTATATATTACAGATCACAGAGGGTCCCAGCACTGATCCCTGCAGAACACCACTGGTTGCAGACCTCCAGTCAGAAAATTACCCCTCCCCAACGATCCTCTGTCTTCTCTGACCAAGTCAATTCTGTATCCAACTCAATAACTCACCATGGTTCCCATCTTCCAGACCAGCCTGCCATGAAGGACCTTGCTTTAGTAAAGTCCATGTGGACAACATCCGCTGCCCTACCCTCCTCAATCATCTTCATCACTTCCTCAAAATACTCAATCAGGTTTGTGAGACAGACCTACCCAACACAGAGCCATGCTGCGTCTCCCTAATAAACCCATTCCTCTCCAAATGTGAGTAAATCCTGTCCTTAAGAACCTTCTCCAATAATTTCCCTACTACTGCTGTAAGGCTCACAGGCCGATAATTTCCAGGATTATCCCTGTTTCCCATTTTAAACAAAGGAACAACATTGGCTGCTCTCCAGTCTACTGCGACCTCACCTGTGGCTAAAGGGGATACAAAGATCTCACTCAAGGTCCCAACAATCTCCTCCATCTATATCCCAGGATAGATCATATCAGGCCCTGGGGACTTATCTACCTTAATGTTTATCCAGACACCCAGCACTTCTACCTCCTTAGTATCCACATCCCCTAAAATATAAACACACCCCTCCCTAATCTTACCCCTCCCTAATCCATATCCTTCTCCATGGTGAATATCGATGCAAAATACTCATTAAGGATCTCACCCACTTCCTCTGGCTCCTGGAATAAATTCCCTCCTTTGTCCTTGAGTGGGTTTTTCCTTTTCCCGAGCTACCTTTTTGCTCCTAATATAGGTATAAAATGCCTTGGGATTCTCCTTAATCCTGCTGGTCAAGGACATTTCATGGCCCCTTCTAACCTTCTGAATTCCTTGTTTAGATTCCTTCCTGGCTCCTTTATATTCCTCCAGGACCTTGTCTGATTTCAGTCTCGTAACCTTATATATTATTTCTTTTCATTTTTGACTGAGCTTTCAATATCTCTAGTCATCTAGAGTGCCCAAATCTTGCCTTCCTTATCTTTCATCATCATCACAGGAACACGTTCATCCTTTAAAAGACTCCCACATGTCAGATGCAGATTTACCTTCAAACAGCCCTTCCCCAATCTAATTTCCCCAGTTCCTGCCCAACACCTCTTGTAATTAGTCTTCTCCCAGTTTAGCACTTTCCCCCTTGGACTAGTCTAATCCTTCTCTATAGCTATCTTAAAAGTTACAGAATTATCTACTCATACAGTACAGAAACAGACCCTTCGGCCCAACCAATCTGTGCTGACCATATTCCCAAACTAAGCACCTGCCTGCTCCTGGCCCATATCCCTCCAAACCTTTCCTATCCATGTCCTCATCCAAATGTCTTTTAAACGTTGTATCTGTACCCACACCCACCTCTTCCTCAGGAAGCTCATTCCACACACGAACCACCCTCTGTGTAAAAAATTTGCCCCTCATGTCTTTTTTAAATCTCTCTCCTCTCACCTTAAAAATGTGGCCCCAAGTCTTGAAATCCCCCACCCTAGGGAAAAGACACCTACCATTAACCCTATCTATACCCCTCATGATTTTATAAACCTCTACAATGTCACCTCTCAACCTCCTACATTCCAGTGAAAACAGTTCCAGCCTATCCAGCTTCTCCTTGTAACTCAAACCCTCCACACCTGGCAACATCCTGGTAAATCTCTTCTGAACCCTCTCCAGTTTAATAATATCCTTCCTATAACTGGGTGACCAGAACGGGACACAGTGCTCCAGAAGCGGCCTCACCAACGTCCTGTACAACCTCAAATGACATTTTAACTCTTGTACTCAAAGGTCTGAGCAATGAAGGCAAATGTGCTAAACGCCTTCTTAAACCCCCCTGTCTATATGTGACACAAAAGTCTAAGAATCATGTACCATGAGGGGCATGGATAGGGTAAATAGACAAGGTCTTTTCCCCCAGCGTAGGTGAGTCCAAAACTAGAGGGGCATAGGTTTAAGGTGAGAGGGGAAAGATTTAAAAGGGACCTGAGGGGTAACTTTTTCACGCAGAGGGTGGTGCGTGTATGGAACGAGCTGCCAGAGAAAGTGGTGGAGGCTGGTACAATTACAACATTTAATAGACATCTGGATGGGGACATGGATAGGAAGGGATTAGAGGGATATGGGCCAAATGCTGACAAATCGGAGTAGATTAATTTAGGATATCTGGTCAGCATGGATGAGTTGGATTGAGGGGTCTATCTCTGTGCTGTATAGCTCTATGGCTCTATGACCTGGACCCCTCGGTCTCTCTGTTCTTCAACACTACCCAATATGTGTTCTTCCATGATCACTGTTCCCAAAATGTAGGCCTACTGAAACTTCGATCATCTGGCCAGGCTCATTTCACAAGACAAGGTCTGGTACTGCCCTTTTCTAAGTGGGACTGTCAACATATTGTTTTAATAAACCCTCCTGGCTGCACCTATCAAATTCTGTCCTATTTAAACCCCAGCACTAAGAGAGTCCCAGTCAATACTGGGGAAGTTAAAATCCCCCACTACAGCAACGTTTACATTTTTCCTGATCTGCCTAGATATCTGTTCCTCTATCTCCTGCTGGCTGTTGGGAGGCCTAGGGTATAACTCCATCAGAGTGAATGCACCTTCCTTATTCCTGATTTTCACCCATACAACATCGTTGGATAAACCCTCCAGGATGTCCTGCCTCAGTACAGCTGTGACAATCTCCTTACTCAGTAATGCAACACACCCCTGCACCCCCCACCCCAACCTTTTCCACTCTCTTTCTCTCTCTCTCTCAGCAGAAACATCTAATCACTGGAATGTTGAGTTGCCAGTCCTGCCCTTCTCTCAACAAGTTTCTGGGATGGCTACAACATCGTAGTTCCATGTACTGATCCAGGCTCTAAGCTCATCTTGCCTTGCCTGTCACACTCCTTGCATTGAAATAAATACACCTTAGACTGCTAGTCCCATCATCTTCATGCCTGTCCTTCCTATTAGATTTACTGATGGAGTGTTACACTGTTGGAGACACAGTCGCTCAGTGGTTAGCTGTGCTGCCTCATGGCGCCAGAAATCTGGGTTCGATCCCACCCTCCCGTGTCTGTGTGGGTTTCCTCCGGGTGCTCCGGTTTCCTCCCACAGTCCAAAGATGTGCAGGTTAGGGTGGGTTAGCCATGGGGAATGCAGGGTTACAGGGATGGGGTGTATCTGAGTGGGATGCTCTTCAGGGGCTGGTGTGGAATCAATGGGCCGAATGGCCTGTTCCCACACTCTAGGGATTCTGGTAAGGGAGTGCCATGCTATTGGAGGGTCAGCGCTGAGGGAGTGCCGCACTGTCGGAGGGTTAGCACTGAGGGAGCGCCGC